TTAGTGTTGCCAAAGAATTAGCTCAAGAAACCTAGTTAGATAGCTGATAATAGAACCATAAACCAACTTTAATTTCTTTATACTAAATCTCAGCTATGTCCTGAATGTTTGCTTTTAAAGGGTTTTTTCCTCTTTGGGATTTATGGCTGAGCTCTCATGCAAAATTTAAAAAATTTCAGGACCTCACTTCAATCCATTAAATCGAGTACACGGCGCACCAGATGAGGAAGAGCGTCATGCAGGCGATTTGGGAAACATTCTTGCAGGATCAGATGGTATAGTCTTTGTCCCCTCGTCAATGCATTATATGTCTTGTGCCCTTTGAAGAATGATGCTAGTAACATAGGACGACTTGTTTTCAGGTGTTGCTGAAATCTCAGTCAAAGACAAACAGGTAAAAGGATGCTCTCTTTTCCCTACGTCAACCCAACGATGTTTGACAAAATAAACATCACATTGTTTTCAGTTGGTTTTGCAAGTCCTAAGCTTCTTACACTGCATATTTCTCCATTGACATTTCCTTATTTATCTCCCAACTTTCTTTGAGTTCACAGATACCGCTTAGTGGGCAGTATTCCATTCTCGGGAGGGCGGTTGTTGTACATGCTGACCCTGATGACCTTGGGAAAGGTAGGAACTTCTTTTTAGCATTTAGATATCCAATAAGGTACAATGTCACTCAGTGACTCGTAGAAGTGTAAGGGTAAAATCTCACAAGCAATCACTATGTGTAGTTGTCATCAAAATACCCAGCATAGTTCTTAGGTTCATGTTAGTGCTGTATATATATCAAAGAATCATATGATCTCTTCCCGGTTGTTACCATGCAGGAGGACACAAGCTTAGCAAATCGACGGGAAACGCAGGCTTGAGAGTTGGATGTGGTATTGCTAAAAAGCTAACACTTTGAATAACAGAGCTTCCTTTTCGTTTATTTGCTTGTTTCCAGTGTGACTTAACTCACTCAAGGTTTTGCTGTTGAACCAGGTATCATCGGACTTCAATCATCTGTGGATGCAAAGCTTTAGCTGTTTAGATCAATGAACTATCCAGACCAGAGCCACGTTCAGTTTTTCAGCTGTAGATGTACATTAGAGACCATAGCAGGAAGTGTAATTGTATATTGACTTGCTGTTTAAAACATGGTAATAATGTGAACCAGTACGTGTGCTCAAGTTTTCTTTGAAAATAAATCCTCATAGTTTTGAACAAGACTCAAACCATTGAAGGTAACAAGATCTAGAAACAAGAAAACGATTGACTACATACAGATACAGAAGTAGTCAGGATTTTTGTTTCTCAGATCGTAAGCCATCGGTACAGTACGCAACTGGATACAGGGTTCAATCCAGATATCTTCCAAGGTTGCAGGAGAGCTTCCCGAATCTTCTCCACGTCACATGATACAGTGGTCCGCTTTGAATTATCCTCTCAGCCATGTGTTTCTGTAGGACGAGTTGTCGCGAAGAGAAGCATCGTGGGGCTTGTATTCCATAACATATGCATGAGGCAACTTCAAATGTCGCTTGATTGAGTCTCTCAAACCCATCACTGCCTGTTCACATAAAACATTGCATTGTGTAAGTACCAAACAAAGGAGGGACAGAGAGAGAAAGAGACTTCTTCTCGTAAATAGTTTTCTCACCTGATGATCAGAAGCATTGCGATTCCATACGCTAATGATGTCCTCATTGAAGCGGACACTTAGTACTGCCCCACATATGTTATCAGCATCGTCAAGCTGGTCGCCTACCAATGCAAGAAGCTGAAAAAACAATCAAATGGAAGGGTATATCATGATTATCAGATACAAAAACCTTGACTCTAAGTATAAAAGATGCACAATTTAAAGAACATTCACAAAAAGGTTCCTTTTGAATGAAGTAGATGGGTGTCAATACTCAATAGAAGTGCCCAGCCTACAAGAAAATAAACTCACCAGATCCTCCCAGAAGCGAGCTGATACCACTTTGGAGAAACGTATGATCCACTTTCCTCCATTGCAGTTTGCACTATCCTGAAGAAGATAAATTTAGCAAGTTTGGTTGGTTTATTCTTTATTGTATGAGATGCAAATATTCAGAAATCTTTGTTGTGTAAAAGGTTTTCGTTCTATCGATGATCCACATACGAACAAACATAAAGACAATGAGAAAAATCAACACATGGTAGTACCTACCTCCCACAAAGGGCGAATCCCATCCTTGAAGAAATGAAGATCTGTTGGACTGGGCAAAAGAGAAGAACGAGAAAGGTGACAGTAGCAGGCCCAAAACCCTTCAACCTAGGTAGTACCACAAGCAGTTCTCAGAAATTAACAAGAAAAGATTGCAAACAGCTTCAAGAAACGGAACTTCCATTAGTGTGTTTGAGCTTACCGTGCTGAACTCCACAATCTTCTTTATGTTATCCTCATAAGATGTCTGGCTCCGGACCCCTGGTGTGCGACGGGTGTACCAAATCGAAAACTTGTACTGCAAATTTCCAAATACATAAAAACGTTGAGCCACTGAGCCAGTATATAATCTTAACTTAAGCAGGCCAAGAATGCTAAACAAAGGTACCAATGATCTCATTTTCTCCAAAATTGCTCTAACTTGTTCTCACGCTTACATGCCCTTAAGATTTAATCGCTAAAGAATGGACATTTAGGGACAAAAGAGAGAGAGATAAAACTAGTACCACGAATACGCATATTCCACTAGAGCATAATTCTATAACAATTGAACTCACTAACCAAAGTCGCCAAACCTATGTTCGCAACAAAACCTCGAGAAAATATAGATTTCGAATCAGAATCTTCAACTACCCCGTCTCTAAAACCGTCGTATACAAAATTTCCGATCTTCGACGCACAGGGATCAAAGTTTGAGCTAAGTTCAGATTCAAATTGAAAATAAAATCGATATAGAGGGACAAACCCGTAGAGGATGCAGACCAGCCTTGAGGTCACGAGAGTGGCGTTCTTCGAAAAAAGAGTCGGTAACGTACTGCGACTTGATGCTATCCATGTTTCCAGATTCTTTGATCTCATCGTCTCTCCTCTCCGTAACCTCCATTTTTCGCAGCTTCAAGCGTTCGGTTTTCGGCTTCAAAGCCCTAAAAAATCTAATCAGGAAGTTGAGAGAAGAAGAAGGAACTCTGAGACGACTCTCGGGTCAATTACATTTAAGGTCCAAAATCTGGAGAAAGTAAAAAGCCTATTGGGTTTATAACTAATGGGCCTCAAAAAAGGCTCAAAATTGTCTAATCATTACCCTCTAGTCACTGTAGTTAGCAAAAATAATAATTTGTTCATGCTAAATTCCCAATACTCAGAAATTAGCTACTAATTGTTTTTTGCCACGTTTTAAAATAAAAATTTTGTCAATAAACATAACTGAAAAAAAGAGTGAAAATTAAAAATTTAGAGTCGTTGGGTATGTAAAACCAAACGCAGGAATAGAGAGATATAACACATCCACCTATCGTGGCAAGATAAGTGGTGGAGAGAGGAAAAGGAAAGGAATGTGACGACTAGGATTTGTCAAAAGATATTAAAAAAGCAAAAAACGATTTTGGCGTTCTCCATTCGATCTCTTTTGTAATGTGTCCATCAAACTTTGTCATCTTTTCACGGATCTCACACTTTCCCCCAAATTTTTGACCTAGATCTTCTCATACAACATTTAATTCCCTCCCTGTCTTTGTGCTATAATCTTTTGCCCTCGAATTTTGATTTTTCTTGTTTTGTAAATTGTTAGAAAGATTCTTGAATTTCGCTTAAGCGGATTTGGAATTCCGA